CATTTATGGTTTGATTTCTTTGTATGTATGGATCACTTGGGTTGTTACCGACATCTGGTGAAAATTTCATGTCATTAGCACCTCTAGTAATGTAAATTATTTACTGAGAAAAATGGTGACGTGTTCAATACTTATTTTACCGGCTTTATAACTTGCAAACTTTCCTCGATGCACATCTTCCTCTTTTACTAAAGTGAATATCTCAACACTGAAGTAATTTTTTTTTTATTTTTGTAATTATCTGAATTTCTAGAACAAGTAACTATAAAATTATTGTTGAATGCGTGCACCACCTTAGATTTTTACCTTGTTTTGTCCTTGTTGCTTTACAACGTTGGGTAAAAATGGTAGTCAAAATGTCAGAATTACCTTGCATTATACATGGAGACATAGCACTTCTCAGATGTTCATATATAGTGAACTGCTTACTTATTACTACTAAAATACAATATATTTGATTATTTGCAATATCTAAACGTTTTTTTAAACATGTTTAGAACAGATTTGAGTAATTCGGAATGAAAACATAGATTTATTGTTGCAATATTTCAAGCACTTTTAGCAACTTTTGGTTGTATTTTATCTGTTAATATATATAGTCCTACTGTTTTTCTTCGCTTTGCTTGCTCAAATATCTAAGCCGGATGGACACTATATGGGTTTTGGGGAAGGTGTGATTTATCTTGACTGTGGGAATGTAAGTGGTCTAGGAGGTTGTAAGCTTGGTGCATTGTTCCTGACTCTGGAATGATTTGGCATTGCAAGACTAAACAATAAGAATGACTAGTAATAATAACTATGTAAAGAAAAAACACTTGCTCTGAGGAGATTACGATACCACCAGTGAAGAGGTGCAAGGACATGAACTCACACTTCAAATAAAGAGAGTACGCTGCATACACAGCAACAAATGCTATACAATAACTTCTACAGGAAGTGCAGAGTGCGTTTAGATTTTCAGATTAAAACAGCAGTTTTTTGGAGTATCACTGTACATAAATTTAGATTCATAAAATTATGACCACTAGGTGGTTATTAATTGTGATATTTGTGGTTATAAAGTAAGCAGTTCATGGTGCAAATCAACCCTTAGTTGTTCAGTATATTTGGTTTGACAGCATGATTAAAAATACAAAATATTCTGCTCCCATCAAGGCCTGTTGTTGCAATATTGCAACGTTTCTGTCAAAATTTACTAAAACAGCAAAAAATAGGTAACCTTTCAATGTCTGCTTCAGAGGCCTCTTTTAACATCATATAAGATGTGAAAATTTTTTTTCTCGCTCTTTTATTCTATTTTTGGGGTTTAACAGGGCTTGACTGCATGAAATGATTATATAAACACAAGTGAGGGATGTGATGAATTTTTAGAGTACTAATTAACGTGATGGATACTCATCCAGGCTGCGTTTGAGCACACGCAAATATTCTAAAAGCTCTGGACACTGAAGAGGTGGCACCAGGTGAATTGTTTTGTCACATAGTGTGGAAAATGAGCATGATTATGCAACTTGTGTGCTTGATGACATTTGGAAGTGTATAGGAGGACGAATTCTTACTGCATGGATGTCAGATGGTATTTGCAGGTTCAAGAAATCTTTTTATCAAATTTATCTTTATATAAAATGCTTGTTATTCATCAAAGGAATGAATATGGCCTGTCATGCCAGTTTTTTAACCAAGACGATATTATGTTGAAAAATTCTAGTTGTTTTGTTTGCATCTTGAAAATATTTTGTGAAAATATGTTGTGACCTCTCACGTGATCAGCTACTGCTCTTCAAACTAATTAGAAAGTAATTCTCAGAACCCCACTTTTGAGAATCTTGAGCTTTTGCTCAAACACTTCCATGAAAAACATGCTTTTTCCTTCGCTACATCAACATCCTTTGTCTTTGCATGCTTGCAGCTGTTTTTTTTAATCTAGACAATTTGTGGATTTCTTATCTTATTTTAATATGCAAGCAAAAATCATTTTAGGACAACACACAAAGTACAAATAAGGGAGACAAAACTTCCAATAGCTGTGTTGTATTCTGATGACAAACCTAGCTAACTTGTGAAGACATGATGTATAGATGGGCATAATGGTATGGTGTGCAATTAATCATCAGAAAAACATTAATCGATTATTTTTTTGGCAATTGACAATTAATACGATTAATGCCACCAGGCAGACTGACTGCTCGGTGCTAATCTCCATTTCAAATATGACGAACATTAAAAAAAGTTCTGTAATTTAATTATCTATCAACACAATTTAAAAATTGATGTATAGCCTGAAGTCTGTAATTTTGACACAATTTGGAACAGATTTTTATGAAGAGCAAATATTTTCCACTAAATTGGTCATGTGACTATGACATAAGGGTGTCCAGGGCCTTCAGGGGATTAATCGTCAAATTAATCGTTATCGGCTAAATACCACAATTAATCGTGATTACTGTATTTATTTGTGTATAATACGATCTCATGTATAATACGACCCCCCCTACCCTTTTTGAGCTTAAAAAGCATAAAAAATTGAATCCTCAAACTACATCCAATTTCATACAGACTTCAAGATTTTTCAGCCTTGGCAGTCTTTAAACATATCAGTAAAATGATCATTTGACTGTTCATTTTATTTTAACAACATATGTACTAAGAGTTATTTTGACAACAAATATACGTATATCAGCTGTAGCAGCATCATATGAATTCTGGCATTTTACACATAGTCCACCAGGAGGCGCCAACACAAAAGTCAGAGACTTCACATGAGATTTGGACCATCTTCTGGGGGAAAAGCAGATTCCTTCCTACTCGCGAGCGCCCCCTCAGGTGGAGAAAATTTTTTCAGGGATACAAACTTTTTCAGAACACCGGTAGACGGCAGCCATTACAGAAGAACACGTGTTTGTTGTTGTTCCAGGAGCGGCCCGGTCACACGCTAATGTTATTAGTTTGTTATCATTACTAAGGTGAAGGACTACTTCTCCCTTTTTTTCACATCATGTCGCCTGCTTGGATCTGCTATTATCTCGATCTGAAGCATGGAGGAGTGTCACACGTAAGGTCGTTTCAACTACTTTTTATGATGCGGTCTCATTTCCGGACTCAGGCACTTTGCCGATATTTCAGTTAAAATACATAAGTAAAAATATTTATCCGAGTATAATATTACCCCCAACTTTATGGATGATTTTATGGATTTAATTTTACGTATTATACTTGAATACATACGGTATTTTTTTTGCCAATAGTGCACATCTCTAACATGATGTCCCAAAATCATGTAAGATTTATGTTTTGAAATACAGCAACATCTGTACAAGGCTTCATAGCAATTTCAATGAATTCTTACATTAAATCAAACAATGTAATCAGTTACTGGTCTGTATTCAATTTCAATGAAATTTGAGGTTCTATAATTAAGTCACAAAAGCTTAAAAAAATCTAAATAAATCAGGTCTTATCACTATACCTACAACTCTGACTAAGCAGCTTATTGTTCTATGCTGTGAGAACATAACTTCAGATTTTTCACTTAGGCAGCAGTCTGGGAGTAAAAATAGAGACTTCGGTGAAAATAAAAGGGAAAAAAATAGCTGTCAACAACATTTCCTACTGACTGCCAATTAAAATCATCAGTCATAGCATGTTTCATGTGTCCTGCAATGTAATCAATTTAATTTAAAACAGTCAGACTTTATGACTTGAAGACACATTTAAAGATGGAAATTTACTGCAGGTAGATGTGCAGCAAAAAAAAAAAGGTGTTCAGCAGTTTATCATCACAGTTTATGATTCAGGCTTGGTGTTTGTCCCAAATGACGTGTACATTATATCCTGTGCACTCATTTGCATCACTGTGCACCGAGACACTTCTGCACTTTAAATCAGCTCACTGTCAGGGGACAGAAACTTGCCTATTGTAGCAGTAAGTGAAATTATCTTCCAGCGGATCACAAAACTTACTTGGATGCTGTTCCACTCGAGTGCTGCCAGGGAAACACGACATTGCCAACAGCGGCCCGGTAGCTGTAGACGCCCAGAAGTCCAAGAGCCAGGGCGACCTTGGAGACCAATGAGCAGTGTCTTTGAACCAGGAGGTAGATCACAACCAAACAGAAGACAGACAGCAGCGAGAGTACCATCTTGTGTTCAGAGCTGCAGGATGGGAAAATAAAGTTTTTATTTTAACATTTTCGAAGTAAAATTCAATCACATTTAAAATATTTATGCACATTGTTGCAGGTGTATTGATTTATTTACACTTCAACACAGAATCACAAAGTCATTGTAGTTTGACACTTGAAGTCATGTTAAAAACACTGTTACATCCTGAAAAACAGGGTATACAGTTTGAATATTTGGACAGAAAATAATAAGGCCTCAAAGGACACATCAAAGTTAAGCAGAAGCTGTGTGTTTAGCCATTAACCGGATCAGACAGCAGCTGGATACTTTAAGACAAGATGACTCAGAAGGCTACCTGGATCTCATTATCCAAGCAACAGGTGGAGTAGGAAGAAGGGAAAGGCAACACTGGTCCAAGAAACGGTCAGAATTCACATCTCTATTCCACAATGTGATGCACGTTCAAAACAACTGTAACCCCCTGCCCTGTGCTGTTGCTGGACTGTTAATGACTGCGGAACAGTTCCGGTTTTATAAAGAAACCACAGTTTTCCAGTCTGAGTAATTCACCTGGGGTGATCCTAGGATCTGACCTTTTAGAGGTGCTTAGCCCCCAGTAGGGTTAGGGTCAAGAGGAAGATTTTTGTTGGTGCAATTTTATAAATCTCACTGCTTATACACATAAATTCACATCCAAAATTAGAAGGTTTTGTTCAACTGAATTTAAAACTGAATCTCAGAAGCCTACATCAAACCTTCCAATGCTAACATAAATGAGACATATATTCATGTTAAACAGCTGTGGAGTGAAGCAGTCCTAGTAGGGTCCGAGAAGGGCAAATCTGTTTATTATCAAGGTAGAACAGTGAAAACTTGTTTCAAACTTGAACTTTGTCTGAAAACCACTTAGAATTGCAGTATCTTTATTTTTTAAACCTGGCTGTGGGCCTATTACCTTAAAATAAAGAACATATGTCCACCTACGGGAATGTAGACCTTATGGGTCATATTGGTTCAAAATGTCCTGATGCATCTCAGTAAGCCAGGTAGAAAAAAATCAAAAAGAAAAAATAAGTAGGTCCTCTGGATGGGTTCCTCTTTAGTGAAACGTTTCGTCTCTCCTCATTATATGAATGTAGTGAATGCAAGCGGGGGTTCAACGTCCCCTGGGATGTTGAACCCCCGCTTGCATTCACTGCATTGACATAACACGACACGGGTCAGGTGATAGGGCACATGACCCTCTATGAACAATAGATAATTCAAGCTTATTGTTAGTCGATGGCCCTATTTTGCATGTGACTAACCAGCTGCACTCTCCACCTGCACATTAATCATCTGCACATCCTGATTTACTATCTTTACTTCATCAGTTTTACCCTCTCTGTCCTTTTTAAGACAAGTTAGTGTTGTTTACATATTGGTGAGGTGTCTCTCACTCAGCAGGCATCAGGGTTTGAGGGGGCATATATTTAGCATCTTCTGTATATTGCTTGATGTTAGCAGTCTGTTTCCGTGGACCTGATGAATAATATGCTGTCGCTGCTCGGTTTGAATAAAGGTAAAAGTGTTTCCTCTGCCATTATCCAAGCAGCCACCCCTCAAGCTGCTTTACATTACAGACTACCTGTCAGGAGGAGGTCAGGTATTAGTTGACTCGCTCCCACAATAGTTTGGTCTCCATTCTTAGCTTAGATTTATCAGACTGAGGCAGTAGCCCGCTATTTAAGGGGCAATATCATGTAAAATCAACTTTTTTGAGTTTTATATCATGTTATAATGTTATACTCTCATAAAAAACATGTCCAAAGCCTTGCTTTGACTCATTCATGCATGGTTGAGAAATCCTGCAGCATTTTTAGGAGCCATACTGAGGAGCAAAACGACAGGTGGGGACCAGAAATGCCTTTTGGTACCAGAAACGCCTCTGGGACGTTTATTTAAGCTGAGCTTCCTCATGGCAGAGCCCCACCCCCCACCGAACGGGACGGGAGACAGAAGCAGAAGGTGGTTCTTAAAGAGACAGAGGCCAATTTCAAGGCCTTTAGAAGAGGAAGTGATGAGAAGATGAGTTTATTTTCTATTTAAACATAAAAACAGCATTTTAATAACAGCTAAAGGTGACATAGATACTTTATTGTGGTATAGTATTTAAATATATGCCTGAGAAACACATAATATTAGCCCTTTAACCACAGCGGCTCTCCCATTTTGACACCAGATGGACAACTGTTTGTTTAATGGACGTGAGTTTGTGTGGGACTTTATAGTTGCCTTTGTGACTATGCCTATCATTGGTGCATATTTCTTTTATTTAATATTATTTGTAGATATTTAAATTTAACAAAATAGCCCTGCTCATAAATCTCAATTTCATATATTATTATTTCATATACAGTGGGTAAAATAAGTATTGAACACGTCACCATTTTTCTCAGTAAATATATTACTAGAGGTGCTAATGATATGAAATTTCCATCAGTTGTCGGTAACAACCCAAGTGCTCCATACGTACAAAGAAATCAAACCAAAAATGTCCAGAAATGAAGTTATTTGTAATAATGTGGAATAACACTGGGAAAAAGTATTGAACACATGAAGAAAGGGAGGT